GGAAAAAATGTTAAGCTTTTCAACCAACGGCATTCGAGTGCTAATTCTGTAAAAACTGAATCTGAAAAAGTGGCAAATACACGTACAATAACCCTTTTGATGATGGACAAAGATTTACAATCGAGGAGTACCTTCAATTGATGAACATGTTTCGGCAAAATAATGATGGTAATCCTCCACACTTTGCAAATAACACGGGTATTATTACGCCATCACCTGTCATTATTCTAGTCACTTGTCTCTCAAACTTACCCTGGATTATTGATAGTGGAGCTACAGATCATGTAACATCTTCAACTGAGTCATTAGATAAAAAGTATGTACCCAAATCAGCCACTATTTAGTTGCTAAATAGTGGTCAGACACAATTGAATCAATTGGTTCTTTAAATGTCACACCACATATCAAACTTGATGAAGTGCTTAAAGTTCCTAAATTCCAAGTCAATTTACTATTAGCAAGTGTATAATGATATTCTTCCCTGATTTTTGTGTTGTGCAGGATGTTGCTACGAGCAAGATGATTGGCGTAGGCAAGCAACATAATGGTCTCTACTGCCTTACAAAACATCAGAACATGACCTTAACCTACAACATCAGCTAACGCTCACATCTGTAGCACCAAAGACTTGGACATCGATCTTGAGGCCCTCTTCAAGTTCTTAGTAAAGTCAATCCAGAAATTCATTTTAATTCCAATCGTGTCTGTGAAATATGCCATTTAGCCAAACAAACTTGTTTATCATTTCCATCTAGTTCAATTTCTTCACATGCAGCTTTTGATTTGATACATTATGCTATTTGATCAATCGCTTGCCTATGTCACTTCTTTTTAATAAATCTCCATATCAACTACTCCACAGAAGACCACCTGTGTACAACCATCTCTGCACTTTTGGATTTCCGTGTTATGCCACCAATCATATGCCAATACATAAACTAGATCAACAAGCTCATCGTTGTGTATTTGTTGGCTATCCTCTTGGCCTAAAGGTCCAACGAGTTTATGATCCCCTCACACGTAAGTTCTTTTCTTCTTGAGATGTCATATATCATGAACATATATTTCCATTCAATTCTCAAATGTCAAGAATTTTCTCAAGATGGTGTTGTGCTTCTTTTATCTCGAACCTTCCCTGAATCCAATGCACCGCATCCATCCAATATACCTACAGGCACAAGTGAAAATATACCATCGTTAGCTGACATAAATTTATCATCTCTAGATGATTTACACAACTGAATTCACTTCCATTGATGCTGTCACTATCCAACCACCATCTGCTGTTCATTCCCTTTATCGATTAGGTAAACATCAACAACCCAATGTTAATTTTTGTTACTATCATCTCTATAACTCGACCATGATTGCTCCAGTTTCTTCATCTTCTTCAGTCATCCACTTCATGGATATATTTCTTATGCACAACTTGCTCCTCATTATCGCCGTTTTATATGCACTATCAATACTACTATGGAACCAATAACTTATGAACAGGCTGTTTTAGATCCTCAGTGGTGAGAAGCCATGGCTGCAGAACTCCACGCTCTTGAGCAAAACAACACATGGACACTTACTTCTCTTCTACTTGGTCATTGTCCTATTGGGTGCAAATGGGTATACCAGATTAAATATAATTCAGATGGCACTATTGAAAGGTATAAGGCCCATTTGTTGGCAAAAAAAGGCTTCAACCAACATGAAGGAATCGGCTAAAAAAATACATTTTCCCATGTTGCAAAATTAACTATGTTTGTTGTCTTCTTGTCATAGCTATTGTTCGTGATTGTGCACTTCACCAAATGGATGTTCAAAATGCTTTTCTTCATGGTGATTTATTTGAAGAGGTATATATGCAGCTTCCTCCTGATCTGCATTATTATAGGAAAACATATTTGCGTATAAAACTTTATGAGTTAGTTGATATAGTTGATTTTCTTATCAAATACAGCTTAGAATTGGAATGTATATAAATTTATGATTCTTGTATACTGAAAATAACACAGAAATATTCTGTAGTACAGTGTTTATTTTCATACTCTAAACTCAGTACTGAAATCTATGCTCCAATCTTTATTGACCTACTCCGACACCCAACTCTAAAATTCAATCCGAACGTAAATGTTCGAAAGACTATAGCATCCCTTTGGCAATCAATTTATAAATTATTTATAGATTTATTATAGTCAAACCTTAATTTTTTATTATATATTTATAATGTTGGGGATCCTAGGAGTTCAATCAACCAAAACATCAAACAATAGAAGAAATTCTAAGGCAAAACCAAGAAAATACGTAACTGGAAATAACACAACCCATATGGCCAAATCTAGACAGCTTCTGCTTCCTCCTTTCCGCAGCTTCTTCTCCTCCTTATGGCTGATTTTACAGGCTCAGGAACAGCCCTCCATGACTTGCAAATCACCTTCCAAGAGAGAG